ATTCGGAAACATCGGTGTCCTTGGATTAGTCCGAGTTTTCCAGAAATGCATTCTTGCATGCGAAAACATCGATGTTTTTGCTGAAAGGTCTCGATGTTTGGCAAAATACCGTCATTTTTCAAAATATCGATGTTTTCGCGAGTAGTCCTTATGTCTCACAAAATGCCGTCATTTTTTAGAAAACATCGATGTTTTCGCGAATGGACCGGAAGTTTCGCAAAATACCGCCTTTCATTCGAAAGATAGGTGTCCCTGCGATTAGTCTGGTAGTTTCCCAAAAATGCCCTCTTTCATGTGAAAACATCGATGTTTCCGCGATAGGTCCGATGTTTGGCAAAATGCCGTCATTTTTTTTAGTATAACCATGTTTTCGCGAAGAAACCGGAAGTCCGAGGTTTCCCAGTCCGAGGTTTCGAGGTCCGAGGTTTCCAGTCCGAGGGTTTCCAGAATGATTTTCATGCGAAAACATCGATGTTTCGCGAAAGGTCCAGATGTTTGGCAGATGTTTCCCAGTCCGAGGGTTTCGAGGTCCGAGGGTTTCCCAGTCCGAGGGTTTCCAGAAATGACATTCTTTCATGCGAAAACATCGATGTTTTCGCGAAAGGTCCAGATGTTTGGCAGAAATGCCGTAATTTTTTTGAATATCGATGTTTCTGCGAGTAGTACTTATGTCTCGCAAAAATGTTGTCATTTTTTAAGAATAACAATGTTTTCGCAAAAATGCCGCCTTTTATTCGGAAACATCTGTGTCTTTCCGATTAGTCAGAGGGTTTCCCAAAAATGCCTTCTTTCATGCGAAAACATCGATGTTTTCGCGAATGTTCCTTATGTCTCGCAAAAATGCCGTCATTTTTTCAGAATATCGATGTTTTCGCGAAAATTGCCGCCTTTTTTTGGAAACATCAGTGTCCTTGCGATTAGTCAGAAGGTTTCCCAAAAGTGCCTTCTTTCATGCAAAAACATCGATGTTTTCGCGAATGTTCCTTATGTCTCGCAAAAATGCCGTCAATTTTTTTAGAATATCGATGTTTTCGCGAGTAGTCTTTATGTCTCGAAAAAATGTCGTCATTTTTTAGAATAACGATGTTCTCGCGAATGGACCGGAGGTTTGGCCAAAATTCCTTTATTTTTTTAGAATAACGATGTTTTCGCAAAAAATGCCGCGTTTTTTTCGGAAACATCAGTGTCCTTGCGATTAGTCCGAGGGTTTTTCCAGAAATGCATTCTTTCATGCGAAAACATCGATGTTTTCGCGAAAGGTCCAGATGTTTGGCAAAAAGGCCGCCGTTTTCTTAGAATAACGATGTTTTTGCTAATGGACCGGAAGTTTCGCAAAAATGCCGCCTTTCATTCGGAAACATCGGCGTCCCTGCGATTAGTTCGAAGGTTTTCTAAAAATGCCCTCTGTCATGCAAAAACATCGATGTTACGCGAAAAGTCCGAATGTTTTGCAAAAATGCTGTCATTTTTTTGTAATATCGATGTTTTCGCGAATGGTCCCGATGTGTCGCAAAACTGCCGTCATTTTTTTAAAATAACGATCTTTTCGCAAAAATGCCGCCTTTCATTCGGAAACATCGGTGTCCTTGCGATTAGTCTGAGGGTTTCCCAGAAATGCATTCTTTCATGCGAAAACATCGATGTTTACGCGAAAAGTCCGGATGTTCGGCAAAAATGCCGTCATCTTTTTAGGATATCGATGTTTTTGCGAGTAGTCCTTATGTCTCGCAAAAATGCCGTCATTTTTTCAGAATATCGATGTTTTCGCGAAGAAACCGGAAGTCCGAGGGTTTCCCAGTCCGAGGGTTTCCCAGAAATGCATTCTTTCATGCGAAAACATCGATGTTTTCGCGAAAGGTCCAGATGTTTGGCAGAAATGCCGTAATTTTTTTAGAATATCGATGTTTTTGCGAGTAGTCCTTATGTCTCGCAAAAATGCCGTCATTTTTTCAGAATATCGATGTTTTCGCGAGTAGTCTTTATGTCTCGAAAAAATGCCGTCATTTTTTTAAGAATAACAATGTTTTCGCAAAAATGCCGCCTTTTATTCGGAAACATCGGTGTCTTTGCGATTAGTCAGAGGGTTTCCCAAAAATGCCTTCTTTCATGCGAAAACATCGATGTTTTCGCGAATGTTCCTTATGTCTCGCAAAAATGCCGTCATTTTTTCAGAAAATCGATGTTTTCGCGAATGGATCGGAGATTTGGCGAAACTGCCGTCATTTTTTTAGAATAACGATGTCTTCACACATCTGACTGTGCGTGCGAATGTGCGTTCTCATACAATACAATACTGCTGTCTAGTACTTAAGCATGCCGTTGAATACTGTGCATCACGTCTGTCTTAGCATACGCTAATAGCACGGTTTACACATGTACCAATAAAGTACCATGTATCAGAATCATATTTCTTCAGCAGGAGAATGATATCCAGCTAATTTTATTTACTTAGCTAATGGCTTACTACAGTTAAAACTCAAAATAAAAACCTACTGCGTAACTCAGTCTTCTCAGAATTATTCTGGCTTATTATCGTTGAGTTGGCAGAATTAAACTGTGTGAAAAAACTGCAGCATATGCATGTGCGGCTACGCCCATGTACAGATAAGGCCTGCGGGTAGGGACTGCCTATGCAAGTTCGCACTTCTTAGTGATTACGCCGCCCACTGCGTTCATTTTACATAACTAGCTATTCGCTTGTTTCCGTCGGTTTATTTTCCGCCCTTTTGAATTCTTTATTAATGCAGCTACTTTTGCAGATGTCTTTCAGCGCTCACAGTGCTGCATATATGTATCTGTATGTACAGTATATGCATGGAGCGATAATCCAGTGCCACGGAAAAGTGCTGTCGGATTAGCCTGCAAAATAAGCGTTGCACAAAATAAATAAATAATGTCGATAGCAGTAAGAACAAAACTCCCCGACGCCAGGCATTAACATTTTGCAAACCTTCGTCGGCAGCACATTTTGTACAAGGCTTCCGCTTTCACTACAGAACATGCAGAGGAAATCAGTTGAACTTGGCTTTTGATGTATAACAATTAATGCGCATAAAGTTTTTAACGATTGCACTGTGGATCGACTTTGCTGTAAAAGACACATGGCCATAAAGCGGAAAGTGAACCAATATCAGATTCGAAGCATTTTTCCCCGATTTTACAATGAATTATAAAATACTTTAAAATTCATTGTAAAATTATGAGAAAGTGCTTTGAACTTTAATGGCCATGTATTTTTTACAGCAGTGTTTCAAGAATATTGGTTATTAACCAGACTTCTGGAACAAAACAATGCATTTAAACTTTCCGCCCATTTTCATTCGTCATATCTCGACAATTTTTGCGCGTGCAAACTGGTTTAAGAACAATGTACAAAATCATTTAGCTTTAGAAGGACATTACAGAAAATGGATTCGTAGTGAAAAGCGAAAGTTTTAGGGTATATACCATTTTTGACACCATGTACCGGGCCTCCTTGAATCATTTCGCTCTAATTCCGACTTGCAGCTTCTGCTTCGCACATGTACACATTGTCATCTATTCACAGAATACGGTAATAGAATTCGTGGTGACGGGCAAGGAACGCAAGCTAAGAGGGAGTTTAGAGCGGTTGCTACTAGGGTTGTCATCACGTCATCACACGCTATCACAATCACGCCGATTTCTTATTCCCAATCCCATCATGCCGAAGAATTGTAGCCGTGATAATGTGATGGGATGAATGATGGGATTGGGAAGTGATGGGATGATTTTCCATTGCCCGAAAATATGTGTGTTAGTGCCAAAATTTACTGTGCTTTAGTTATACTGCATAACTTTTGCGCGCTACAAAATTTTCTTCTTTTTAAATCAGGCAAACGCTGTATGGGGGAAAATTTATCAGCAAGGCCTTAAGCATTCTGGTCATTACGGTACGCTACGTCACTTTCACCATAGTCTATTTGATTTGGTTGATAATACATTTCTCAACTGTGATAACCGTTTTTTACAACATTTATACCTCATGAAAACAGTAAAATAAATTTTTTTCAAAACATAATTCAATAAATTTTATTTTATTTTCGTCCCATCCTACTATTCCCATCACTTCACCTTCCCATTCCCATCACATCCCACCTCAAAAATCAGGGTGGGATGACAACCATAGTTGCTGCAACTTTGTGGCTACGTGCTATCCCCTCTTCCGATGCGCAAATGCTAGTCTGTTCGCATAAACTCGTCGCCAGCTTGCTACACTTCTAGCTGATAGCAAGAAAGTAGCCAGTTCCCAGCGGCTTGCTACGACTAGACGGCACCCGCCCGGTGTGACCGTAGAAGGCAACCGCCCACAGTAACGGCAGGTAGCAACAGCAGCGCCCGCCCACCGCTACGGCAGCGGACAACCTCTTATGGTGGCGGGTTACTTGACTATGGCAAGCCGATATTAGGCTTTTGGCAAGCCGACATTAGGCATATGGTAAGCCGACATTAAGTACATTAGGGCAAGCCGATATTAATATTGGTATTTTCTGGAAATTAATTCAATCCGCTTTAACTTTCTAATTTATTGTACATATAAAACATTATTTATTTGATTTGTTTCAAGATTTCGTCTTCAAAATCTAAATCGAAATCTTTGAAAATTTTAATTTTGAAACTTCAAGTTTAGTTGTAAGTTAAAATTAAAAAAAAATATTTAAGTTCCAATTTGAACTTGAATTTTAAAAAAAATACAGTTCAACTTTCAAATTTATTTTAAAAGTTAAAATTGAAGTTTAAATTTAAAAAGTTTCATTACATTATCGTGTTTGTTAATTCGACCTTGGTTTCAAACTTTTTAATGGTTATTGTGTACTGTATCGAATTTTTACGCATCATCTGCGAAGTTGGTACATATATGGATTAGTAACCTCAAGAGGTTACTACATGGCTTTACCATTGTCCTTACGAGCTAGCAATCTAGTCACGACTACCAATAGCATCGTTTGTTTATGGAGACATTTGCGCTACATAGTCGGGCTACATAGCCAGCTACGTAGCAGTAGTCAGCCAGCATAAACTCATTTTGTGGAACTACTTGCTACCAAAACGGCTACGGGAGACCACGCCTGCGAAAATGGTAGCAAGTAGCAAGTAGTCAGGTCCGATAAACTGCCTCTAAGTAAAAGTCTGCCGTTGTCGCTGGACTAAACGTATGACACTCTGACGTTATCGCTATCGAGTTCGCTATCGTTCAGGCAGTGAGCGGCATAAATCTGCACCGCCGATTCCCGGATGGTCTGCACGGCCTCCGCGCCACAGTACGCCGCTTTTTGCGCGCTGGCTGGACCAATGAACTTCTCGATTCTCGCCACGTTAACGCTGCAGTAAAAAGCGGGAATATCAGTTAAAACTGACTCTGCAACCCAGTTTTCGATGCACATAATATTATACGTATATGCAAAGTGTAAAACGTATTAAATCGTGCAATTTCAATAGGTATTCGGGTATTGGTACTTCATATATGGTCGGCCGACGCCACCTTCCTGGCAGTATTCCACGCGGCCGCACACCGGATGGCTGTTGACAGGGACTTCCTCCACCTCATCCCTAGCAGTCGCTTCCTCGGCCCGGCGGAGGAACTGCTGCAACTTGGGGTCGTGTTGGCGGCAGTGACTAACCGCGCGAAAGTAATTGACGGGTGCAATGCTGGTCGCGCAGAGACGGGCCAAGGCGATTTTCAACTCGGAGCCGTACCATCCGCTGGAATCATCTTCGAGGAATTCCGGGCAGCGGGTCAGCAGGTCGCGGACGCAGTGTCCGGTGTTGTTGGAGTATCTGCAAAGCACCCGCGTATCCTATCAGGAAGCATAGGAATAAAACATTGCCATTGAATGATTATTTTATTATTTTTATTACTATTATTATTGCCGAACAACAGCAGCCGAACTCCATAAACGGGGATACCATACCAGTAACCAGGCTTCTGGAAAATGTTATTCATTATTTTGAAATGTGGCGTCCTGGTGCGCAGTGCTTAGTTTTTCAAGGTTCGCCCTGGCATTGCCCGAGTCAAAAGCTCTTCGGAAGAATTCTTTGAGCAGTATTGTCAAAAGGAATTTGCACGCGATGGAAGAGGGCAATACAAACGCCGACCGCCCCAATAGTCGTTCAACTCGTAAAGCGCCACAGGGAAACAAGGGAAAGAGAATGGACGACGCAAAGCAGCTTCGTAAACGCGTGGCTCAGATGTTTCAAAATAGGCGGACCAAGGACATTGTGAAATTTCTTTCCTCCGAAACCATAGCGGAAATGAATGATGAAACCGTAGCTGCATTAAAAGATAAGCATCCCCAGCGGTTGACCAATGACATTTTTCCCACTCTTGCATCAGCGCCAACAGCGATACCGCGTGTCTCTCCGGCTGAGTTACTGGACGCCGTTTGTAGTATGCCTGCTGGCTCTGCTGGAGGGTTTACGGGAATGAAACCGCAGCACTTAAAAGACATGCTGAACCGCCGGGATGATGTGGAAAGTGAGCTGTGTCTGGCGATGACGAGTCTAATAGACATTGTACTCAATGGTAAAGTTCCAGCTGAAGTGCGACCCTTTCTGTTTGGAGCTAATTAATCCCTTTAAAAAAACCTACTGGAGGAATCCGCCCCATCGCAGTTGGTGAGGTGTTACGCAGAGTAGATTCAAAAATCGTCAGCGCAAGATGTCAGGAACAATTAGGTGCACTATTCCGTCCCATTCAACTGGGATATGGCACGAAAGGAGGCGCGGAAGCTGTGGTACATGCAGCGCGAAGTTACTTGGAAACTGACCACGGAGGCACGCGCGTGATGGTCAAACTGGACTTCAAAAATGCTTTCAATATGTCCCTACAGATACAACGTGACTGCGAGTGTTAACGCTAACACTCACAGATGCAACGGTACAAAGTTCAAGCAGAGATAACGCTCTGCACAGGGATTGGTTGAATGAATTATCACAGTTGCTCCATTTCACGGATTTGCGTGATTTCCAACAGTTGATCGACATCAACTTTTAGAATTCACACTTCGCACTCACACCACTGCGTATACCTACTTATTCGTATATTTACAGTTAGTTTCACTGTACACTTACACATCGCATTATATTTAGTAGCTACAACAAGGCGGTACGTATGATCTGTTCGGTTAAATCGCTTTTGCTTGAGTTACCTGTTTGTCGTAAGATAATTGGTAATTACTCATTAGGTAATTACTCATTAAAACATGTTAACTCGCTAATTATCATTTCAAGTATACTTACAGTTACATTTCAAGTATACTTAGACAAGGAGTTTACAAGTTTATTTATTTTCTGATTTACCGTAAAATCGTTAATTTTTACAAATTGCAGGTAACTCATAATATAATTACCCGGCTTAGTTTACTTACTTATTAGGACACAATAAAAAATAAAATTAATTAATTTTGGACACGACTGTTGAGAATTACACCGAAGTATTAGTGCGTATTTCAAAACTTGTATAATGATACTTTAACAAGGAAAAATAGCCGTGACAGCAATTTTACCAAAGACTTCGGTGCAGCTAAACAGACACCATGCGTTTTGCACGTTCAAAGATAACCACGTTGTGAATGCTTATGTTATCTTCCGAATGGCCTGTTTTTTGATGGCTCACGGCATATGAATCATGCGGCATCTGCCAGTGACAGTGTTGTCACTGCCAGTCACGTTATATCTGTAGGGACATAATATGATCTGTAGAAGCGCAGTGTTGGAAGCTGTGCAGTCGGTCATACCAGTGTACAATCCCTACTTTGACCAGTCGTACGCACCCGTGTCCCATCTAGCCTGCCAGGATACCGTCAGAAGATATGCCGCTAATCTTCTACCGTCATCGCTTCGGAAAGCGGCGTGCAGCAGGGAGATCCAGGGGGACCGTTAGCATATTGCCTGGGGACATTTCCATTGCTACGTAAGTTGAGGAGCCAGTTCAAAGCCGGCTTTTGGATGACGTAACCTAGCGGGACTGATTGAAAAAATAATGGCAGATATCCGAACAATAGAAGAAGAAGGAAGAAAGATTGGTCTCGTGTTGAACTACAGTAAATGTGAAGCCTTCTTCTTCGGCGGAACCGAAAAAGAGCGAGCGGCCGCCAAGCATCGTTTAGTTTGGGAATGGCCTGATTTTGAGATTTTAGAGAGCGAAAACTTAACGCTATTGGGAGCACCTGTCAACGCGGTCGCAGTGCCATCCTTTTTAAAAAACGAAATTCAACTGATAGAGAGACTAGTGGATAGACTAAAACTGCTGCCATCCCAACAAGCTCTGTACCTGCTCCGAAACTGTCTCAGCGTGCCGAAATTAATGCATACCCTACGCAGCAGCCACTGCTACGAACATCCCGAGGTTCTGCGTGAATTCGACGATTTAATGCACGGTGCGGTTACCTCTATTGTCCATGCCCATATCGAAGACAAGAACTGGATACAGATGACTCTTCCGGTCGGCCGGGGAGGCTTGGGAATGCGGCGAGCAGAGGAGCTAGCTTTATCGGCGTTTATCGCCTCAGCGTCCTCGGTTTTGCCAGTGTGCCTAGAAATGCTCCCAGTCGACCGAATATCGGGTCTAGATCAGGCTACGGACAAGTGGGTGAAGACGTATCAGTGCGAAATGCCCTCCGAAAATCTGAGGAAATATCAGAAAAGCTGGGATCGGCCCGTCGTGGAACGTACATACTCACAGCTACGCCTACAAGCAATGGACAGTGGTAAGCCGCAGGAAATGGCAGCACTATTAGCGGCGTCTGAGAAAGAATCTGCGGCATGGCTGCACGCGCTACCGGCAGCATGCTTGGGAAAGGTGGTGAATGACGAACAAGTTCGAATTGCAGTAGGATAATGGATTACGATTCGGTTTGCCAGTAGTGGCAGCGCATGAATGCGTAGGATGTGGCTTCCAGGTAACTCCTGATGGTCGTCATGGATTGTCCTGCCTGTACAGCAAAGGTAGGTGGAGCCAACATACAGAATTGAACAGTATACTGGAACGAGGTTGCGTAGCAGCGGGCTTTCCCTGCGAGTTGGAACCCGTTGGTTTATCCAGAGACAACGGAAAGCGTCCAGACGGATTGAAATTGGTGCCCGTTCGAGAAGGAAAGCAGCTGGTATGGGACGCCACCTTTGCGGACACGTTAGCACAGTCGTATCTTAGACGGTCAGCAAAGGTTGCGGGCGCAGCGGCACACCAAGCAGAAAACCGGAAACCGATACAATTATCGGGGTCTGGGCGAACAGTACTGGTTTTATCCTTTTGCTGTAGAAACACTCGGAGTGCTCGGCGAAGGAGCCAGAGAAATGGTCAACTTTTTTGGTCGGAAAATCAAGGAGAGAACCGGAGAAGGCAGATCCACGGCTTTTTTAAAGCAGCGCATTAGCCTTGCAATTATTAAAGGCAATGCGGCCGCGATTTTAGGAACTTTACCGGGAAAGAATAAAGTTGTTGACAATAGTGATTTTGGTTGTTTTTTTAATTCTTGATTGTGCAGTATTGGCCGTAGTGGATTGATTGACTGTTATGTCGCTGAGTGAACATAAATAAAAAGCACATTTTGAAAATTTTATCCTTTTGTTTGGTAGGATATTATGAGATGGAAGTTACCCAACTTAGAATTAATCGAAGCCAATTAAGACACATAATCTTGAAACCAGCCGTACTACCACCGCAGGCTACGGACAGATTAACATAAGTAACAGAAAATACGGCCGATAAATGAAGCGACATTAATGTTAACCAACCGGCAATACGCTTCGTCCACCGGCTGGTATTCGAGCAGGATCTCCGCGGTCAACGGCCACGGGATACTCAAGCTCATCAAGCGCTCCACGGTGAGATGCTCCTGCCTTTCGTACTCTTGGCACTGGGCGGCTAGTTCTTCGCAGTTCAGACTGACGACGATGCGCGCACACAGCGCCCAGGCAAACAACGCTAATTGTCGAAACATTCTACGATCTCCGGTTTACCATATATTCTGGCTGTCAAAAGAACGGTTAGTTTATGAAAGTGTGCGGCTGAATTACGGTGTTATATTCGGACCAGCCTTTCTATATTTAGCTTACAATTTCGCTCTCATCCTTTTTCGTTCTATTCTGTACGTACTCATGTCTGAACGTGTAGCCAGCCTATACAAATACGCGGCCAAAGAACTAACCAATCTAGATTTAATTGCTTTTCCTATTTTGTTATCGATCTAGTAACGCAGCATAAGTATACCACGTACGATACAGTACGGTACTCTGCTGTGTTATGGTAACAGTCAGGATATTATAATCGATTTATGCGGTGATAAGGTCAAGGTGCCCATTTTTGGCTTTTTGACAAGAATGTGGAATTTGGTTAACATAGATGCACTCATTGTGCTGGAAAAATTGAGAACTTATTCACGATTTTTATCCGTTGCAGTGCAATGGTTCATATATTATGTACTGTATAATGTACCTAATGTATTGTACATATATAAGCTGTATAATGTACCAGTGCCTACACCTATCTACAGCGCAGTTAACAAATAAATTTTCAAGCGTGCAACTAAATGGAAAAATTACATACAGAAGATAAATTACTTACCTAATTGAACTGCATCCGAATTCAGGAATATTCACGATAAAGGGAATTTATGACTTGGAGAGCCGTCTAACTGCTGTCGTCTTTGTAGTGTGTACTGCTTTTTCGTGTAGCGCGTCGCAATACGGCGGCCTCCGGCATCCGTACTGTCTGTGTTTGTTGGCGTTTAATTGTACAATGAAATGCACTTATAATTACTAGGAAAATGCACTATTGCGTGCATTGGTAGACCGGAGCGCAGCTTTAAAGACTGGGAGTACTTACTTCTGAAATAGCTTTTCACGAGAAAAATCCCCAATTCACTGGACAATGTGGACATTAGAATAATTATACTGTCAAGCAAAGACAGATGAAAAAAGAGCAAAGGCCACAACGTTGGCTATAATTAACGTGATCCGTTGATCATGTCGCCAGTTGTTTATGGAACGTCTTGAGGAATTTAACGAACACCGACCGGCACACCATGTTCACGCCGGTGGTGTACACCAAGGTCACGGCCTCGCTAAACTCCGGCTCTGTGTTGGAGACATCCAGCACCGACTGCCCGGCGGCGCAGCGCACTTCCAGAACGCTGGGCGACGCGGTTGGCTGCATTTGGTGCGGTTGGCGCAGGATCCAGGCGTGCATGTCGCGCAGCACGTGCCGGCACTTCAGGGTGTTGTCCACCGACACCGTCGCCTGTAGCGCGTCCGACGCGTCGAAATCCACGTGGGAAAAGGTCACATTCCCCCGGGCGCAGGTAACCGTGATCACTTCCGGTTGCGGACAGGTTTCCGGCGTCTCTGGTGTCGTCCAAGGACCGCCGGAGGTCGCCGGGGTCGTTGAGGGCACCTCGGAAGTCGCCGGTGCGTCCGGGTTCACGCAAGCTTCGTAGTACGACAACCGGGGTAGTCGGCTTGGCCTTGGCCCTCCCGGGCCGCCGACGGACCACTCCTGGCCGAACGGCACCGTCCCACAGCTAAACCGCAGCCAGGGCTTGACGTCCTCCGCTCGCAGCGCCATCTCGTACGCCCACCCAACCATCCCGAACGCCGCGCAGCACGTGCAGTCCGGCGTGATGTTCGGACACAGGAAGTCGTTCCCAAAGGTCACCGTCGACTGCCGTGTCATGCTAAGCGTATCCAGGACGCTACGTGGCGGAAAGGTCACGTTCCCGTCGAATTGGAGGGAGAAGAAGTTGCGTCCGAAGGTGAAGTTGCGGGTGTGCGTGAAGCTGGTCAGCGGGCGGCGCTGGCTGCCGACGTTGATCACCGTGAGATTGGCGGCGATCGGCGCGAAGACTCCCCAGTCGAGGCTCTCCAGCTCGTTCCCGAGGAGGATGATCCACTCCACCGGCGCCGGCGGGGCGTCACCCAGGCGGGTGTCGAAAGCATCCGGGTGGAGGTGGGTGACGTCGCTGTAGGAGAGGTCCAGGACCCGAAGGCGCCCGTAGCCGCGCAGGAAGGTCCCGTCCAACGGCCCGATCTTGCTGTATTGAATGTAGAGGAGCTCGATAGTCGTCTTTACCTCGGCGAGGAAGGCCGTCACCGGCGCCGACAGGTTATGGTCCCCGTGGAAGCGCTCCAGCTTGACCTCGGTCAGGAGGGTCAAGGTGGCGGGGAGGGGCGAGGCGTTGCCGGCCAGGAGATTGAGCGGGGACCGGGAGAAGCCGGCGCCCAGGCGGAGCGAGGTGGTATTCGTCGGGATGCGGTGAACGTCGAAGGCGGCTGGGATGGTGAGGCCGGCGCCGGAGAAGGCGGATTTCGGACAGGAGAATTGGCCGTTATATATGATGCTGCATTCCGGGTGCGGTAGATCACCTTCATACAATGCGCAATATGAACAAATAACCGGCATAAACCAAATATCTATTTATAAATATAATTTCAATAAAAAATTAATTGTTATTATATTTAATAAAGAAATACATAAAAAATAAAAAAATTATTATAGTAGATAAAAAGTATTATAAAAGGATAGGACTTAGTAGGGAAAAAGAGAAATATAGTACTTTAATACAACTCAAGTAATAAAGATATCATGGTAGCGTAAAAAAATTTGAAAAAAATTTAAAAGGACAACTAAAAATGCGTTAATAAACTAGAGACCGCTGAAATGAAATAACGTACTGGTTATGTTTGTATGTACCGCATCTGGGGTCGTATCGCACCGTCCACTGGACAACAGCAGCACGAAGCATATACAAAAAGCTGCAATGCCGAAACCTGTTAGTCGTTCTTGCGTATTTTAAGGTTTCCACAGCGCAGATGCTCACCCATCACCCAATAACTGCACCGGAAATCCATGGCTGCGGTTGGGCGATGCAGTTCACTGACTGCAAGCTGACCGGAAATCGCCAGTAGCCGGTGGTAGCACGCAGTGAAAATTAAGGGAATAGTAATTTATTAATGTATGTTAACCGTTTAAACAATTCACACGCTTCGGCAATTAAGAGAAGCTACAAGAGGCCTGCTGTGTTTTCCTTATCTGTGCAGCTAGCATACTAACTGATTAGACACTACTGAACACCGATATTGTGTATTGTCGTCTGCTTATCTACAGATACGGTATCGGGCATCCCTATCGGCGATCGGAGGGGACGCCTGACCATTACACTGTCAACTGCGCTGGAAACTGCATTTCTTACAGTTAATGTTAATATAACTAATCACCAGTGACCTCTGCTGTTTTTATAATATTTCCGGCAACTAATAGCATGCTTTCTGTTGATTGAGAAAATACTTCCGACTCAGAAACTGGCCCCAAGGACGCTGTTTTCAGTTTAGAGTTCATTTCGCCTTCCAAACGTCAATAATTAGGTCGCCAGTCACGATATTGCCAAAGCCGTGACTGGCTCCTGCGAAATGCAGGCTTTCAAGAATATTTCAAGTATTCAAAAAAAAAATAATTTACGGAAAAGATGATACTTCTCGGATGCAAAATATACGGGTACGTGGACGTCTCCACATTGATACACATATATCCGAAGTTCCTAACGAGTGCGATTCTGTGGAAAGAAATATATCTCTGTGACAGTCTACTTTGACATCTACAGTAATGGAACAGCTGGAAAAACAGGTAAGAAAAGATTGGACAAAAGGAAAACAGCGTAATAAATGCAGAGGGCGGTTTTTCAGGTTTCTTCTATTTTTATGCTGTAAAAGTTGATGTTATTTCAGGAAAAATTCAAGGTAGATCAGAAAGTTCTGCGCGCATTGTTGTGTTTCCTGAAGTTGAGAATAAGGCAGCTTTATGTTACTTACTATGTAGTAATTTTACGAGAGCGTGCTGTACCTAAGAAACTTGGAAACTTACAACACTCGGACATGGATTATTCAGACTTGGATTTGGTCCAAGTTAAGTAATCCAAGTCGAGTTGTCCAAATCATTTGGATAACTTAACTGGGGTTACTAAACTTGGATTGCTGAACTTGGACTACTTACCTTAATTACGTTCTTATGCTGTTTTCTCGTGCGCATTCTTAGTTATTCTCAGGTTATTCTTAGGTTTCTTCTTGGTCCTTCGCAGGTTCATCTTATGTTTTCTTAGGTCATCCTTATGTTCTTCTTGTGTTACTAAGAACACTACGAAACCTAAGAAAACCGAAGAATGACCTAAGAAACCTAAGAATAACCTGAGAATAACCCACGAATACGCTCGAGAAAACAACAAAAGAAAACAACGTAATCCAGGTTAAGTAATCCAAGTTTTGTTATCCAAACCCAAGCTGGAGTAATCCAGATGCAAGTTTTAGTAATCCGAATCCCAATCCAAGTGTCAGCGCTGGCCTGAATTATTTTCTGGAAAAACTTGGAACAATTGTTGGGATGGTGCCTGTTCTTACATTATGCGGAAGACATTGGTACCCACCGGACATTTAGTCAAGAGCCTTGGAGCCATTTCACGCCGGGATATTGGCCAACCGAGCAGCATCAATCGGCCGTTGGACGCTGGTTGTTTTATTAGCGCAAGCCAGTCACACTGCAAATTTTGTTAACAAAAAAAATGATTTACTACAACAGAAAAATTTCTCTCAAATTATCCGTTAAATCAATGGTTCCAAGAACGGACGCCGCGTTGCCCCGCTGGATTTCGATCGATAGGCGCTGGCGTAAGAGTTCATGTGATCGAGGTTGGAGGCTTAATTATTTTGTTAGTCAGCGTTGTTGCTGGCTTCATCCTGGCCAAGGCAGCGGTGCCGGCTGAAAATTAATTCGAATAACGGTGTACACCGTTGTTCACGTTAATTGGCGACCGGCAAATTAACGCTAATGACTGCCCTTAAATGCCCTTGACTGATTGAAGGACATTGGATGCCGCGTGTGGAATGCGCCGTCTCCCAGCACGGAGGTCCACCCGACGAACGTCCAGAGAATCTGACTGCGCTGTACGCAGACCAGTTTTCTCCAATACTATCCAGAAATTTCATTTGTCTGCTTTGAATCTGATTGAAATTATATTGCATGTTATTCGCTTCATCCAGAAATCCATTCGCTGATTTTTTGTGATTATTACCGTATTTTTGTCGACATATAATTGAAATGCTGCAGATGATAAGTATAACTAATCATCAGTGATCACAGTGTTTTCGCAATATTTCCGGTAACTATTGGCAATGTCTTCTGTTGATTGAGAAGCCACTTCCGCCTCAGAAGTGAGCCCAAAGGACGCTCTTTTAAAGTCGAGTTCGTTTCGCCTTCCAGACGCTAATATAAGTATTTATTTGCCCTTCGTACCTGTTCATCGTGATACTGTAGTAACTGTACTAGGGTTTTCCGGGTTGAAAACCGCACTGGACTTTTGTAATGACGAGCGATGTTAGGCAGTGTCGGGATATAAATTCCTTGAGTGAACCTTCTCGAAAAGAAACGGGGTCTGGCAGCATATTGCATCAATACTGTTCACCGGGCTTTTATTCGGCAGCAGCCAGTGCACATATCTTCCGGAATGCTTCCGCAGATTTACATTACGAGTAGTTAAAACGATTAAAATTTCAACAGCGAAAAAACACCCAAATCATTATTGGCATTCAAGACCTTTTGATGGGCACTCAAAGTACCCACCCTAATAGCTTCCAGTCGGAAAAAAATTAACTGTACAAGGGTCCACACTAATGTTGGTAAGAAGCATTCATTTCACGCTAAAGTTATTCTCTTTAAAAGTCCCGTCTAGAAAATACTTAGAAAGAAAAGCCGCCTTGCGACGCTTGCTGACAGCCCGTGAAATCGTAAACAGGGTGCTCGCCGCCACCGAATTCGCCCTCTTCCTCCTCTACCCCGAAGTAGACCTCAATCATCTCCAATGCCTTCTGATAGATATCCGGATTGTCGCGCGTTTGAAGTGCTTCTAACTTATCTAGCCCTGAAGCCGAACAGACGGTCATAATTCCATCATCCCCAGACTGATAACAATAATAATAATAATAATAATAATTCGGGATACGAAAGCGGATCCTTACCGTAGCAATGCTCGACGATCAGCGCGTGGGGATTGAGGCCCTGATCATCCAGGCGATGTTGTCCGACACGGAGAACGCAGTCGAGACCCGCGAGCGCCACCTGCACGATCCGCGCATCGGTGCTGCCCAAGAGATCGCACATGGGCGGAATACATCCCGCTTGCACGAACATCCTCTATCACAACATCAACGGTGGGTATTCAGGTTTCCAGAAAACCGGTGTAACGTCAGCGTACTGAATCTGTTCCCTGCTGCCACCCGACAGCGCGTTCGTTATAGCCCACGCCGCTTCTTTTCGCGTCTTGAATTCAGCATTACCCAGGATCTCGAGGAGAAGGGGCACCAGTCCGGCGTCTATCACCAGCTGCAAATATATGCCAACATCCAAATGTTACGATACAGAATGTAACCGCAAAGTGTGGTGTGTCAGCCTTTATTATTATTATCATTATCACTCTACAGTCTTTCCATGAAGATATCGTACCAGGCTACTGGAAAATGGGTTTTTGATTAGTTTAGAAACTTTTATACTTTTTTGGTTTGATGTTATGAGATAAAAGTTTACCCAACCTAGGAATCGAACCCAGGCCATACAATTTCAAAACCAGACGTACTACCACCAGGCTATCGGCAGGAAACATATTAAATGTATGATTATTATTATCACTACAATTTGCTTAGGTTTGTCATATTGGTTGGTACAGCACAAGATCGTCGATAGTTCACAGTCTCACGAAAATGATTACAGAAAACAGGAATCATTGAATTCCCGATCAGGATAGCATTGAGGAAGTGTTTCTGTTATAAATGTTTTCTAGTACTAAGTTTGTACTTACGACATGATACTTATTAAAGGTACAGTGTTTTTATATTAAAGAAAAGTTTTACGTAGTTGACAATAAGGCTATATTTTGGCGCCGCAAAAAAAAACAGCAAGACGACCGGCACATCATCAAGGGACCTGAAACCTGTTTACCTGAATCTGACTGCGGTTCCCGGCGGTGATATTGGACAGCGTCCAGCAGGCTTCCTTACGAATGGATTCTCTGACATCGCGGCGAAGCAGTAACGCCTGTAACGGCTGCAGTACGCCGCTATGCAAAACGGTCTGCGTCTGCCGGTCATCTCCTGTGGCAATATTCCCCACGGCGCGCAAGGCAGCGGCTACCACGTTCTGGACATCGTGACTAAAATAAGGTTTACAGTATTCATTCTTCATTTGATTATAATTGCTGAGCGAAGCTCGCTTTGTACATATTGAGAAATAAAATCATTTATAAGATCTATCAAAGTACACCTACAATATTTTACATGCGATCATTGCGAGGTGTAAACTCACCCCAACAGTCCCACCAATCGCCGAGAAACTCCCGCATCAATAACCGCCTGAATCTGGTCATTTGGACCATTGCCCAGGGAAGAAATCGCCCAGCATGCATCGGTCAGCACATCCGCATCGGAATGGAACAGAAGGCGGGCTAAAACCGGCAGAGCTTCTTTCACCTAAGGAAGAATTTTCCTGACAGAAAGGTCAACGCCCGCCAACACAAAGAAAAGAGCACCTTAGTAAAATCTGGTTGGGGTTTTTGCCGCGGCACAAATTGGACAGAGCCTACACAGCAGTGCGGACCATCGATAGAGGCTGGGAACGGGAGAAGATGCTACAAAACATTGCAGAACGTATGTGCATCTGAAGTTGTGTCTGCTAGCTAATAAATACTTTATCAGTGGAGCAAGGATTCCTTCGTTCAACACCAGATCCCGGCATTGCGTGCCATCCCCAGCAATGTTGCCCAAAGCCCAGACAGCCTACAAACAGCCAGTTACCACCCAGACTTTCTCGTTTTCTCGCGTAACATCTGGTTGGAAAGTTATGGGTGAATCAAAATTCCACAAAGTTTAAATGCGTTCAGGTGTACCAAAAGTCTCATTATAAACCGATCGTCTTCAAATTTTGCACGTAAATGCCCATTGGCATGAAGACCAGTTTTACGCCAAACCAGAGTTGCAACATTGTTTTCTCAAATTTTAAATGATTTTCATCATCTTTTGAAATTTATTTCGAATATTCAAAATTTTTTTGCAACTCTGGTTCGGTGTAAAAATTATCTTCATGTGTATGAATGCGCGTTTACATATAAAAGCTGTAGAGGCTCGGTTTATAATGAGACTTTTGGTACACCTGAATGCATAAACTTGTCAGGATTTTAATTCACCCATAACTTTCTATAACCGGATGTAGCGCGTGCAGCTACGTATACAGATCTTTTAGCTACAAAATATCATTAAGCAAACGCGACAAATGCGCGACAGCAAACGTTCCCGTGGGTGTACAGGAATTTGGTGCTCTATATAATGTACCAGCCCAAATCCCTTAATCCTAATACCCGCTTATACTGCCTACCTGCTCCTGAACATCCTCAGTCGGAGAATCCAGCAATCGAATGAAGACCGGCACAGCGCCCACCTCAACAACGTGGCGAGTCTGCTGGGAGGTCCCGGAGGCGATATTGCTTAAAGCCCACGCCGCCTCCAACTAACCAAACACACAACGATTCTCCAGCACAGAATATTACGAAATCCGTCTTACAGTTTTCTAATCAACTAGCCGAATAAAGCAATCGCAAAGTACGGCTGTGTTTTTGAACGCATGAAAACTTGTCCCGCATCCAATGCCCCAGACTACATAATATTATACGGTAAATATTCACCTGAAGCCGGGGTTGATCAGTCATCTGCAGAAACTGCACCAACCGCGGCAGAATGCCGGTACTGATCACTGCATCGATAGGTGGATCAGGTTCTAGAGTACAGACAAACTGAACTGTGGATTTGAGAGTTTATTCACAGCACCACTCAGTAAACACATGCAAATAAAGAGTTTGTCCCAATTAATTTGAGAAGGGACAGTACACAATACACTCATAGCAGTACCACGCACAATCTTCAAACTTAAACGTTGAGAAACTGTGGATTTTATGCTGTTCACTTACCTCGAGAAAGCAACTTTCGAAAGTTCTGCGTCGCGTTCAGCATCCTTCGCGGATCCTGACTGGCGAGATCATTTAGCATCTCAGGACTGATTTGCTGCAACGAAGCGAACTCTGACCGTACATATTGTACAAGCACTGAAAAACTAACGGCGATTTGCAATTTGAGAATTCCTTAGCTGGATTTAAGCATTGGTTTTCAGGGGTTCTAATCTACAAGTTCCACGGTTTACCTCAATGTCTGCATCGTGCATATCCCCTTCTTCATCCGTGGAGGACCTCAGGTTTTCAATGTGGAGTTTTTTGGCAATCTACCAAAAGTTTTGTACAAATCGTCACACCAGAACGTTAACCGGCAGCGCATGACGCAGTTTGCCACGAATGAACCCGGATCCCTGCGGGTTACCTGTTCTTCACGCTTATTTCGACGTAATTCGTTGGTTTCCATCTCCCGGCGCTCGCGAGCGGCATGGTGATCCCTGCCAGCGTTTTTATATTTGTCACTACGTTGGCTGTGCATTTTTGCGCAATAGGAAGTAATGGGGTACCCAATCTAAACCATATAAACCACTCAACGTCCAGGAGTTTTCCACTTGGCGAATGCACACGACTCGCACAAGAGCTTCCAGTTAAAAGTAAAAACGGTTCAGTTTCCTGTCGAGATTACTAAAACAAACCGCAGCGAAGTTAATCTACGTAAATTAACCGACGTATATACACTACAAATGAGATAATATCCGCTCAGTTGAAGCAGAAAAATATTACACTAGAAGCCTCTTTACCTGGATCCGTTGAATAAAAAAAGACGTGCTGTCACTAGTGATTCAGGATGAGATCATCTGTCGCGGTGACATCATACATTCATGGCATTGCATGCATACTGTGCAGTTTCACTAAACTTGGCACTACATATACATCATGTATATGTAACATTAACTGTGACAAAGATTAGCCGAAAGTTTTTAAGACTAATTTCTGCACCGTATGCCTTGGAGATCAAATCGGAAGGGATTAGTGACCAGGTGCAGACCAGCCGATTTGTTGCACAGTGGAAACATACTGACATGCAATGGCTGTTGGGGCAAGAGAAAGTTGGCTGGATCTTTACTTCCGGGCATAATATAAACGTCTACGTGGCGCTACGAAAGTAAGAAACCATGCGGATATGTACTGCTTTATTACATGGGCAAGCATTGACATAATTATGGACAAGCATTGTACAGAAATATATATATCAAACGTTTTGCGGTAAGAGAAATGACTGATCCATAGAAACTTACAACCAATGATGCAAGAGTTGCATCCACATTCTTCATTTTTTCCACACTCCCTTCCAATGATTTATGCCGGGACAGGTGTCGCGTCTACAAGTTGAGACTTAGTTTGTAACGATATGTAAAACTACACAAGCGAATCAGTATATAAGAGGCAGTTTATCGGACCTGACTACTTGCTACTTGCTACCAATTTCGTAGGCGTGGTCTCCCGTAGCCGTTTTGGTAGCAAGTAGTTCCACAAAATGAGTTTATGCTGGCTGACTACTGCTACGTAGCTGGCTATGTAGCACCGACTATGTAGCGCAAATGTCTGCATAAACAGACGATGCTACGGGTAGTCGTGACTAGATTGCTAGCTCGTAAGGACAATGGTTAAGCCATGTAGTAACCTCTTGAGGTTGCTAATGCATATACCAACTTCACAGATAATGCGGAGAAATTCGTTACAGTACACAATAACCATTAAAAAGTTTGAAACCAAGTTCGAATTAACAAACACGATCATGTAAGTAATAAAACTTTGTAAATTTTAACTTCAATTTTTTTAACTTTTAAATTAAATTTGAAAGTTAAACTGTATTTTTTTTAAAATTCAAGCTCAATTGGAACTTATTTTTTTTAAATTTTCAAAATTAAAATTTTCAAAGATTTCAATTTAGATTTTTAAGATAAAATCTTGAAACAAATCAAATAAATAAAAAATGTTTCATGTATACAATAAATTAAAAAGTTAAAAGCGGATTAAAATAATTTCCAGAAAATAGCAATATTACGAGTACGCCTAATATCGGCCTGCCATAATGTATTTAATGTCGGCTTGCCATATACCTGTCGGCTTGCCATAAGCCTAATATCGGCCATAGTCAAGTAACCCGCCACCATAAGAGGTTGTCCGCTGCCGCAGCGGTGGGCGGGCGCTGCTGTTGCTACCTGCCGTTACTGTGGGCGGATGCCTTCTGCGGTCACACCGGGCGGGTGCCGTCTAGTCGTAGCAAGCCGCTGTGAACTGGCTACTTTCTTGCTATCAGCTAGAAGTGTAGCAAGCTGGCGACGAGTTTATGCGAACAGACTAGCATTTGTGCATCGGGGGAGGGGATAGCACGTAGCCACAAAGTTGTAGCAACCGCTATAAACTCCCTCTAAAATTACATATGCGAATCGTAAAAATGCAGTACATGGTAAAAATTTGAAAGAGATGTGCTGGTCGTGCTGCTCATACTTTTACAGAGAGTTTCTGTCGCTCTTCAAGATCCACTTCTATGAGATCACCAGCAATAATCACAGCAGCAACACAGGCCATTTTCTGTCTCTGCTTTTCATCTCCAGTTCGACCAGCGAGTAAATCTGTACATGAATCCACAGGAAATGTGCTTGTATTACTGTGGCCAACACCCAATCCAGAAAAGAACGCAAGGTAACTGCAAAATGCATAACAATTTCAAACATTCCTCAGCGTAACTGTTTGCGAACTACACCTTAAACAATCTTAACCTACGAAACACAGCCTTACGAAACATGAAATTTAACAATCGACAGTTTCGAAATGTGATGATTTTTTAATTTACATCTATTATTCTGTCTAGGGTGTAGTTTATGTGAACACACGGCATCAGAAATGATAGCAATATGATAAATTTGTTAATACAATACTATCTCGCCCGTAATTCACTCTGGGTATTTAACGTAATAGCATTAGTACCAGAAATATAACATAATTCGAATAGACATGTCGTAAAATAACTGTTAACTTGCGACGGCTTTTGATAATCAAGAAATGCCGTCTCGTACACACACCAGTCAGACTCGGGAAGATCAAAATGCGGCTGCGGCGGCATGCCCAGAAACCTGTAGTCCTCCACGACGAACGCTCCAGTGCCGTTTTTCCATCCAATCAGCGCCGTAATGACCCCCGTGCAGGCCCGCCAGAAAGGGGGGGGCGCACCGGCGGGCGCCCCCCCTTTTTCGGATTTTTGACCGCCGGGGGGGCGCATTTAAAGTACTGAAGGGGCGGGGCGAGGCTGGCTGACGTGTCACGTGTTATTTTCGCCATACTTTGAGTCCGGCAGACCGCCCCGGCGCACTTGCGCCCCCCCTTCTCCAAAAAACCTTGTGGCGGGCCTGCCCCCGTGACCACCATTTGGAGATCCAGATTCTTTCCCACAACGATGATTCGCTGCGATTCATCCTCTATATATAGGGTGTCAGTGTCACTAATGTAGCGTGGTAGCACAATCTGTCCATGAATTTCAAAGTCTTCGTGCATTTCCCGCAAGATGTTGGGCTTTAACTCCATCTCCTTGTAGAGTGTTCCAATCAGGCATACTGTCTCGTTCTCCACGACGTCGCTCACGGTACATACTCTGTACTTGTACCCTGTAGTGGATAAATCAGTAGTTGCAGATAAAAGGACTCCACAGAGCACGACATTTGGATTGCCAACGCTTCGGACTTACCCCATGTCGCTTCAACCACCGATAACATGCGAGGTCTCAGCACAGTCAATCGCTGATAATACAACTGAGCAAACTGAGGATTAACTGTTGTCGCATAGCGAGTACGAAAAGATTCGCTTTTATCAATAATATCACCACCCTTCCGGGACATTATAACTCAGAAAAAAGGTGAACCAACTTATAACAAAAACATGTGGTAATAGTAGGCAGATAAACGTTCTAATAAATATGGAAACATGTGGTTCATAACGCTCACAAAGACTCCATGCTGCAAGTAATTGCGGAACACAGCTGCCATACGAGGGCGATATGCAGTACGTTGTAGTGTACTGTTTTCTTGTGGCCGCCACAAAAAAAACTCGTTATGCCTGTAGTGTAATGATTTCTTGTGGCCGCCACAAAAAATTTCATGATGCTGGTATTGTGCTGTTTTCTTGTGGCCGCCACAAAAAATTTCATTCTGCCGGTAGTGTACTGTTTTTTGTGGCCGCCACAAGAAAAACTCGTTATGCCTGTAGTGTAATGATTTCTTGTGGCGACCACCAGAAAACGTCAGATTACACGCATAATGAAATTTTGTGTGGCGCACGCACCCAAACCCACAAACGCAAAGAGGGGGACAGGAGGATCCGGGTGGCGGTACCGGAGGCGGTGGTGTGCCTACACCATCCTCCAACGGCGGAGGCGGTGCCGTTACCAGCCCGGTCAACTTCTTCCAGACCAATTATCAGTTCACGTCAACGGCCTGCACGACGGGATCGGTGGTGGGCACCGTTTCCGCACAGTTCTTTGGCGACGGACTGCAGTAAGCATTATAAGACTGCTGATAGCTCGAACCTTACCAGTAGACCTCGTCTAAATGCGCCTTGTTCCAGGTACTCCATACAAGGTGGTAACGCGTTTTTCGCAATAAATCTCGTCTATGGACAGATAACCATCAGCAATCTACCGCCTCCTGGTACGGTGCAGTCATAAACAGGCTTTACCTTGATGCATTCATTAATAACAATGACAAGTTCAGTATTTAGCAGAAATTACAGACAATATCGATTCACCTCCTACTTTAGTGCAGGCTGGTTTTGGTTCCAGTTTAAACACTTGTTTTATTTTTATACAGGAACCTGGTCGCGGACGTTAACAGAAAATGGGTCTACACGCAAGTAGTGGATATTTATATATATATATATATAAATAAATATATATATACATATATATATTTAAAGGAGACTATGTAAAATGGATGTACATACAAGATGGGCATGATAGGTAGCTAGGTGTGCCATGTATATCATGTATATCTTGAAACTGGAGAAGAGCGTTCGCTGTCTTTCTCCAGCAGGGTTTTATTCTACATCTTGTTATTATCAAAGGGCATGGTGTATCTTATAATTAATTATACGTGTAGATACTGTATATATAGGGGGAAAAATGTGTCTAGCCGAACCAGTCCGTTGGGGTACTAATAAACCCTGGGAATGGGAATTGGGAGTTGGTATTGGGAATTGGTACTGGGAATGGTATTGGTATTGGGAAACACATAATAGATGAGAATGGTATTTCGTAATGGGAATGGGAATGGGAAAACGAAAATTTTCCTGAGAAGTACGCAGGTGAAGTTTCTAGTATACATCATAACGCGTACCATTACTAGGTGGCGAAACAAAATGGCGGTCTGCTTTGCTGTGCTAGGTCCTGCCCAGTGCTGAATCGACATCCTACTAGTTTCATTTAGCAACTGCAACCTAAAAGTAAATAAGCTAAAACAACATCGTACAACGTTTGCGTTTAGTATGGAGGGTTTGGTAAAAATGGGTAGACTTAGAGGATGACCTGAAAGGGCCCCTGAAAGCCAAAATTCTAATTTACCTACTTCTTAACAAAAATTGTTGCAATTAGTTGCAATAGTTGCAATGTGTTACTTCTCGTAAAATCCGCAACATCTTTTTTTAAGTGCATTTATTTTTTAAGATTTAACGATACAACGTCTTATTGCGCTCTATCTGTACCTTTATACATATGTTCACAATTCACATGATCGACAGATATGTGCATAACTTATAAGCTTTCCTCTTACACATGGGGAGTGTCACACAGTCTGGACGTCTGCCATCTGTAGAAAAGATGTGAAACGACCACTTCCAGATTATTTCGCTTTATTATTTCCGGTCTATTGGTTTTGCTGCCGCTGAAATACTTTTATTTTAATTTTGACTATAATTGAAATTAAAATGTTCAAAAAATTCTGCCCGGCGTTTTGCCATTTGCCAAATGCCGGCCTTTTTCCAGTTATGTGTTATCTAAGTAACTGAAATAAATATTATCGTTGTTAATTACGCAATATTGTTGTACTGGTATTGTAGCCGTAGAATCATGTTCTACAGATTGGCATTGGTAACAACTCAACCGGAAACACATGTACCGCCTATCTCAGTAGAATTGCGAATCCAGGTTATCGGTTGTGAAGAATTCTGAGATGTTCTGACTATCTGGATGTGAAATCAGTCGACGTGCTCACGCTGCCTTGACCGGCAGACGGTTGACTTTCCCACATGTTCTTGCTCTTGCCCTTGCTCTTGCACTTGCTCTGATTCTGATTAAATTGATGATGATGTTCCTGAATTCGCGCGTTACGTAAGATTGTGATTTACTTAAGATCTAGGTAATTACCGACGAACCATCGAACCTCCAGTTTTATCGTGGTACGGGTGTGTAACCCAACCCACTAGGGGAAGCTTAGAAGTTGCCATTGCATGGCGCCTCCTGGGTGTCCTGACCATCTAACCCAGTGAATTCCAACGAACGCCCTTTCCGGATCCGCTAAAACTAGCAACACTCTGCCATCCAGTTGTGGTTTATAACAGTACCTCTTCCACCTTGCCAACCACACTTCCACCACAATAACCGGCACCTAATTTGAAGAATACACAACTTTGCCATAATTTGCATGGAAAAGAGTTGCAAAAATAGTAATTTAACGGAAGATTATTTTATGTGCTGAAATATAAATTAGAGTGCTACGATATAAGAAGAGTGACCTACATTAAGTTTGCACATAGTAAAAGCGTTCGGAAAACATCAGCAGCAGAATTTTCTTGAATGATAATAGAGGTCAGACTGAACAGCTCGCATTCTTGAGAGCCATTATCCGTTTCGCTCCAAGAGTTTCCTAGCCAGGTCTATACAGTATCCCCAGTCTCTCCCTAGTCCTATTAGCACAAAGTGTTTCTCTCAGACGACCTGTTGTCCACTGCCAGCGCAAACCAAAACAGTGTACAGACAGATATGCGTAGTTCCGAACAGTGATAGCGATAGCCAGAGGACACTCACAGCGTCGCACATGCCGCGTAAGAAACCACGGTCTGTGCTCAAGTCAGCACAGGATGCAGACAGTAATTCTCTTCCGCAAACAGGAATAGGCAGAAACGAAGTGCGTATTCCCGAAATATATGACGAGCTGAACGAGTCAAAAGCTGAACATGTAATGCATGAAAGCTTGGTCAGCCAGCTGGCCACTGAGCAGGCAGAGTCGAATGCAACACATGCACAGCAAAGTGCACAACCGGCAATAGTAGATATACGGAGTATTAATAAGCGCAATAATTATGAGTATTTGAGTTCATTCAATATCGATGACAACGGTAATCTACATACCGAATTTAGAGCGAATCCTTACCCAAAGTCCTTACCCACAGACCGCCATTTTGTTGAGCCACCCGGTATACCAGAAAGTGCTTCGACTACGTCTGCCTTCTTCTTGTAAGAATTTTCGTTTTCCCATTCCCATT